TTAGCAAAGTAGAGGAATACAAAATTAATATTCAGAAATTGGCCGCATTTCTATACTACTATAATGAACTATTAGAAACTATTAGAACTATTAAACAATCCCATTTACTATTGCAACAAAAATAATAAGGTACCTAGGAATAAATTTAACCAAGGAGGTAAAAGGCCTCTACTCAGAAAACTACAATACATTGAAGAAAGAAATTGAGGAAGATACAATTAAGTGGAAGCATATACCATGTTCATGGGTTGGAAGAATTAGCATACTACCCAAAGCAATCTAGAAAGTCAACACAATTCCTATCAAAATACCAATGGCATATTTCACAGATCTAGAACAGATATTTCAAAAATTTATATGGAACCAAAAAAGACCCGGAATAGCCTCAGCAATCTTGAGAAAGAAGAAAAAAATTGCAGGTATCACAATACCTGATATCAAACTATACTACAAAGCCATTGTAATCAAAAGAGCCTGCTACTGGCATAAGAACAGGCTATATAGATCAATGGAACATAACAGAGAGCCCAGAAATTGACCCACACCTATACTGTCAATATTGACAAAGGAGGCAAGAGCATACAATGGAGTAAAGACAGTGTTGGGAAAATTGGACAGACACATGAAAAAAAAATGAAGCTAGTCCACCAACTTATATCACACACATAAATAAACTCAAAATGGATAAAAGACTTAAATGTAAGTCGCAAAACCATAAAATCGTAGAATAAAACAAGCAGTAAAATCTCAGACATTTCTTGGAGCAATATTTTTGCCGATATGTCTCCTAGGGCAAGGGAAACAAAGGGAAAAAATAGACAAACAGGACTACATCAAACTATAAAGCTTCTGCACAAAAAAAGAAACCATCAACAAAATGAAAAGGGAGAACATATTCATCAATATGGGAGAACATATTCATCAATGATACATCTGATAAGGGGTTGATTTCCAATATATATAAAGAACTTACATAACTCAACACCAGGAAGACAATCCAATTAAAAAGTGGGCAAAGGACTTGAACAGACACTTCTCCAAAGAGGACATACAAATGGCCAAGAGACATATGAAAAGATGCTCAAGGTCACTAATCATCAGAGAGATGTAAATTAAAACTGCAATGAGATATCAGAGCACACCTGCCAGAATAGGTACCTACCATCAATAAATCAATAAACAACAAATGCTGGTGAGGCTGTGGAGAAAAGGGAACCCTAGTGCACTGTTAGTGGGAATTCAGACTAGTACAGCTATTGTGGAAAACAGTATGGAGTCTCATCAAAAAATTAAAAATGGAACTGCCTTTTTTTAAAAAAACACACAAAACCATGTTTTTTATTGATTTCAGAGAGAAGGGAGACGGAGAAATAGAAACATCAATGATGAGTGAGAATAATCGAATGGCTGCCTCCTGCACGCTCTCTACTGGGGATCAAGCCCACAACCCAGGCGCATAGCCTGCCGGGGAATCAAACCATGATCTCTTGGTTCATGGGTGGATGCTTAACCATTGAGCAACGCCAGCCACGCGAAAAATGGAACTACCTTTTGACCCAGCGATCCCACTTCTGGGACTATATCCTAAGAATCCTAAAACACCAATTCAAAAGAATGCACGCACCCCTATGTTCATTCACAGCAGGGTTATTTACAATAGCCAAGATCTGGGAACAGCCCAAGTGCCTGCCCATCAGTAGATGAGTGGATAAAAAAGCTGTGGTACATTTACACTATGGATTACTATGCTGCCATAAAAAAGAAGGAAATCTTACTTTTTGTGACAGCATGGAAGGACCTGGATATTATTATGCTAAGTGACATAAGCCAGTCAGAGAAAGACAAATAGCATACAATCACACTTATATGTGGAATCTAATGAAAAAAATAAACTGATGAACAAAACAGAAAAAGGAGTGGATACATGAAACAGACTGACAGCTGTCAGATGGGATGGGGCACAGGGATTGAATGAAAGAAGGTGAGGGGATTAGCCAAAGAAAATATATGCTCAATCCATAAACACAGACAACAGTTAAACTATGGCCAGAGGGAAGAGGGGTTGGGGGCAGGGTGGAGGTGGGCAAAGGGGGGTTAACATAGTGTCAACAATTAAAAAAAAAAAATACACTGCAAGTTTTTCAATTTGGAGTGCCTTGTTATATATCTTGCCACCAGGAGGTGCTGTCAGTACTGGAAACACTGTAATGCTGATCTCCAAGCAGTCCCTGGAGGCTGGGAAAGTTGTGTCTCAGCCTGACCGCTGAGGATCCGTGTAGGGGTCTTGTGCGGTACTGCAAGGAGCTCAACCATCCTGCACAGCTGCATTTAACTGTAGAGATATTTTTAAATGTACATAAATCCTTTTTTAAAATTTCTTTAAAATTTTATTGATTTTAGAGAGAGAGGAAGGGAGGGAGGAGAGAGAGAGACATTGATTTGTTGCTCCACTTATTTATGCATTAATTGGTTGATTCTTGTACGTGCCCTGACTGGGGATTGAATCTGCAACCTTGGTATTTTGGGACTACCCTAACCAACTGAGCTATCTGGCCAGGGCAAATGTATGTAAATCTTTAAAAAAAGAAAAAGAAAAAAAAAGCCAAATTCCTAAATTTACTTAAAAGAAGTTACTGCATTATTGAAAGGTTTTAGTTATGTATTTTCTCAACAGAAGTACAGCTACCATCACACAGGATTTGATAACATTTTCTCCCAGGTAAAAGGATTCTCATAATTGCAGTTTTTGAGAGTTGATTGGTAGCACTATACTAAAAATTTTATTCTGGAGTCACTTTTGGTAAGAAGCATGGCATAGTTATGGAGAACACAGAGTTGGAAACAGAATTGTAGCAGCAGCAGCTACAATAGTATTTATTTTCGTTATCATCAACATTTGGGTGTTCGCTGTGCACCAGAAACATAACTGTTCTAAACAGTGTACATAAATGTACTCATTTATTCCCTTTATAATGTTATGATGTAGGTACTATCATCAGCCCCATTTGACAGAAAAATTGGGTCCAGAGAGTTTAGGTCATTTGTCCAAGGCCACACAGCTTAGTAGCTGGTGGTGGTAGAGGTGGTGGGATGAACCTGAATTTCATCTTTCCCTAACCAGAACAGTCCGGGTTATTCAATAGGACAAAACACCTGTGAATATCAGTAGCTTAACTCAACAGACACTACTGGTTATGTGTGGGTTGGCAGAGGACTGGGCTTATTGTGTTAACTTGGACGTAGGCTGACATAATTTCTTTTTGACTCATGCTTTCACTATCATGATCACTGATTACCACAAGGCAAGAGTACACTACAGTGTCTGTAACTGAAATGAAATATGTCTGCTTGAATATGATACATATCACTTTTCACATTTCACCGGCCAAAACAAGTAACACGCCATTCCCTGTTTTAAGGTAGAAATGCACTCCTGCCATGAGCTTAGAAGTAGTCAAACCAAACTGGTGAAAATGATTACCACAAACACTCAGACCCTGGGCAGGTCATGCCTCACTTAGCCGGTTTCCCTACCCACAAAATGAGCATAATCATTTTGTAAGGATCTCTTTTGTAATGTTCAAATAGGGATGTTAGTTACTGTTATGAGGCAGAATGGTTGTACTCAAGCGAAAATTCCCATCAGCTGAAAATCTTTGTCCCATCATAGGTGGCTCTGGAGCCCTCCATACAAAGCTGGAATGGCCTTTGTCCAACCTTTTTCCATGGGAATGTTTCCGTCACTCGCACACCTGAGGTCGTGAAGCATATAGTTTTCATTTCAATCAACAACATGCCATTGTTATAGTCCCAGTGCTAGCTAGAAAGCTCAGTCTGGTATTACCAGCTGTCCAAGTTCATGTTGAAAGCTTTTGACTACTTTGGCTTGAGCATGTGAGGATCACAGGGAGTGCTCCTTTCTCCAGATTCTCAGCTCTCAGATCATCAGTGCTGTTTACTTGGCTTCTCTCAGTTTTGCTCCACAGATCCTCCCCAGCATGTCTGCTTTGAGTCAGGTATAAGCTAAGCCACAGACATTCCTTTGCCAGCCAAGGAATGACAGCGCTGAGGGTAGGACAAAAAATACCCTTAAAAAGAGCATTTCCCAAAGTTCCCTGAAGAGTAGTGACAACATTGCCAAGCACTTTGCTTGCTCCTTTCCTATGGGCTTTCTAGTCATTCGTCCTCTTCCTAGACCCTCTGATAGACTAGGTTGTGAACTTCCTAAGGGGACCATGTTTTCATCTGGGTTTCACAGCAGGTGTGAGAACCTGGTACACAGCAGGTACTCAATAAATGTTCGCTGCATGAAAATGCTTCTGAAGATTCTTCTTATGATGGCTTCCTTGTAGAATTTAGTGTCTAACTAGCAATTAGGCTAAACTTTAGGCCCTGAGGTTTTATGAAGCTAAAACAAGGCCAAAATGGGGGAGGGGAAAATAGGAAGATGAGGAAGAGGAAGAAATTTCAGGCAGAGAGAGCAGATGTACAGGCAGGAAAGCTCTAAGTAATACTGAACCCAGGGAGTCTGTCGCCTTGCCTGGAAAGTTAAAGCAGCAGGTTAAAGAGGGAGGTTGGAGCTAGATGCTAGTAGGTCTAAGGTCAAAGTCCAGAAGGAAGAAACAGCAGTACTTCCTTGGGGACAATGGAAAAAAAGGCGTAAGAGAAGCAGTGATGCATCAAATTCCGCAGTCAAGAGCTTCAACAACTGAAAGGCAGGATGGGTGGAGAAAATACAGCAGGCTCCCCACGCTTCCTCCGACTTAGGGCGCTCGCGTTCCACCGCGGGATTAGCGAGCTGAACGCAGGCTTCCCCGCCTGGAAGAGCCCGCCTCCCTCCCTCACGTGGCCAGAAGCGCCCTTGGCACGTGACCTACCTCGAGTTTGGCCAATCAGCCTTTGAAGGGGTGAGGACGAAGTCCGAGGGGCGGAAGCATTAGTTCAGGCCGCCTCTTCTCGCGAGCCTTGCCGCCATCACTCCTCAGCCACCCACGACCCCGAACGAAAATCTCGCGATGCTTGGGCGTTGCGGCGGTAGGAGGAGGACGGGGAAGGACGGAGCAGTACCACTGCTACCTCCCTCGCACACTCCCTCTTGTGCTCGCCCGCCCCCTCCC